TCACTAGTTTAGAGTGACCAATAGAGTCAGATGGGCATGTCTTCCCTACAGGTTATCATCTAGACTTTGGTCAATAGATGGCGTAGTAACACCACAAGAAATTCTTGTCAGGAAATCCAACTACCACTTTGTATAAGGGGTTAACTGAATTTTGTGATGCTTTTGACATCATCAGTCCTAATCTTTATGGTACCCGTACATAAAAAACTATACTCTCCTGGAGCAGAGGTCCTTCCCACAGCTATACACTCCTGGAGGAGAGGTCCTTCCCACACGGTCCTGGATTCAGAGGTTAGACCAGGGTGGGAAGAAGATGTCGAGACCCCAACTAAGCTACGGCGGTTTGTGGAGTCTGCGGTGGTTATGGTGTCCGGTGCAGTGCTGATGGTCCTTGGTAAGCGCTAGGAGCATTGATTGCGTGTGTGTCCATATAAATATATATATATATATATATATATATATATAGACACACACTATATATGTATATATAGTGTGTGTCCATATCGCTCTCTCTCATTTATATATATATATATATATATATATACATGTATATATGTGTGTGTTTCTGGGCTGTTTCAATAAAGTTACATAGAATAAAAATGTCTGTCATCTGCTAATTTGTGATTTACAGTGTACTTTTTAACACAAAATGTCTGCCAGTGGAAATACCCTGTCAATATCTAATTCACTGAACAAACTAATGAATATACTCTTAAATAGTGTAATAACCCACCAAAACATGAGTACATGAAAAGAAAACACATACATCATAGATAAAAATACAAATGTGTGCAGAGAATGTATGGCCCTGTAGCGTAATGCAGCTGTATAGCTAAATTATAAAATAACCTCCTAATGCTCCAACAAGTAACAAAACACAAGGTATGATATAATAGAAAAATGCTATGACAACAGCCTGCTATTACTGTACCCCAAAACATGATTAAATAATATTAGTACAAGCAAATAGATTAAATAATGAAAAAGCCCCAATAATAGCATGAAATGAGTGATATATTGTGAACATTTGTTCAAGCATAACATGGGGAGGCCGTGAGCTAGGCTCCCAACTTACGGTTTTCACCTCTTTGTATCCGGAAAAATTATTTGTCTGAATTTGAACGTATGTCAAAAGCAACTTGATGGAATGTGCAGGGAATAGGTGGGACAAACTGCTGGCTGTGTATCTAAGCCAGCCACAATCTGGACCAAAATGAGCACTGAACCGATATGAGTGCCCAACCTCAAACCAGTTTAATACCTTAGAACAAGTAGTTTCAGTGCAGTTTGTAAACAACAGCATTGCAAAGTGATGTGTAACACATGGCACAGAGAGAGGATGGTAGCCCTGATTGAGATTGATTAGCCCATCCCAGAAATCTAGGCTCACTACTTCACAAATATGTAAAACATATATATGAATGTGACTTTACCTCAAAATTTTAGTTGTCTGCTGTACTGAATTTTATATCTTGGTACTCAGTCTTCTTTCTTTGGCAATGCATGGCTTTTATTGATTCACCCATTCTCCACCTCTGCAACATTATGGACTTACCCACTATTGGCATACTTGAAACAGTTAAAAAAAACATCAGATCTTAAGAAAAACATCAAAGTGCTAAAACATTATTTAGTACAAAGATTATTACAGGACAATGTTTAAAGAGTTACTCCAACCACCATGATCACTTCAGTGATTATAGGTGGTCATGGTGGTAGGAGTCAGTATGTGCAGTGTTTTAGGCAGAAGCAATGCACATTCTGAGTTATTGTTAATTGTGTGCTGGGAGCTAGTTGCACCTACAGCACATGTGACATTGGCAACCCAGAACTCTGTTCCGGGCTGCCTAATGTCAATTATGTTCATTTAAAATGTATGTCATTAGTGAGCACTGCACGCTGGTGACAGATGTCAACTTCTTCCTATTGAAGGCAGAGCACCTGCAAGGAAAAGATTGTGTTATTCGCAGTTTAAAAAAAATAAACCACCTCCTTCCTCTTCCACACTCCCTCCTTTCCCTCAGCATGCACAGCATGCACTCTTCCCCTGGCTCAGCATGCACTCTTAGCTTGTGAAGCCCCTGCAACATCAGCTTGGAAATCAGCAGCAGAAACTTTGTCCCATGCTGGATTCAAGGTGAGGAAAGTCGAGGTGGGGGACTTTATCCATTTTGCCCAGTAGGGTATATTACACAGCAAATCCCCCTTCGATAAAATGCATCCCAAACAGAACACTTTTTCACGCAGTCATTCTAAAATGAAATTCAGGGAAGCAGGAATACAATTCACTAGTCTTTCTACAGGTCTCCCATATGAAATTGTTACTGTTACTTGTTTATATATTTTTTTTATTTATCTTTTCTAGTCAAAAAATATTTAGTATCACAATTTTTTGGATATCCTGCTAGTATCATTCAGATAGAGATTCAGAGAATAAGTACAGCAGTTTTCTAGACCAATAGGCAAGGCAGAATAGAATAGAAGTAGATTTAACTCTTCCAATGCTCCTAGTTGCTACTCTATATTTAAACAACCATAGTTGTTGATTTTATTATGGTGAAGATATTGATATATATATCAAATCAAATATTTTAATTACAAGCCATTAAAGGTTAGGTTTTAAAAATCTATTTTTTTCACTTTATTTTTCTGATTCCAATAATAATTTTTCCCAACTGGGTACATTTTGCATTTATTCCTTGTCTTATACTCTTGTTCTATCTCGTATATAAAATTTGGGTTAAACTTAGAGGTTACCCTCCCCTACAGGAGTCACACTACAACTAAATTGAATTCCTTGTTACTCTTTCAAGAATAGAATAGTACCTAGTTGGTTGATGCCTTTAGTGAACTTTTACTCCATTTGCCCACATTATTTATTTTCAATCTGCTTAAAAATGTAAGATTAGTAAATAACGAATTTCTCTTATTTCTGTATATTTACTAGTTTACGAAAAAAACAAAAAACTGGAATATTAAAAAGTTAAAGATATATAACACTTCATATGCTATATAATGTGCTTGTGTTTCTTTAACTGTATAAATTATGTAGATATGTTGATTTTTTTGTGTTGGGATAAACTTAATATCAGTATGCTAAGTCTGAAAACATCTATAATAAGTGCCTGTTATATTATATCAGACTATAATAAAGTTTTATCCAAAATACAAAAATTGATACAGCACTCAAGATGAAGAAAATATAAAGATTTATTAGCAGAACATTGCCATTTACCTGAATACAACTCCAATTTCTATATCACAAGAGTGAAGATATATAATCTTAAAGTGACAAGTGCCGCAAAATTACCAAGTGCTTAATATGTGCTTAAAGTGCTAATATTAATAAAATACACTATCAATGTTCCTTTATGTACAAATCTGTATACAGCAAGATCAATAACAAGATAGTAAGTGATATCTATGGATATCTCATCCAGTATACAGTAATTCCTGCAGGGAAATAATCTTATTTGTAGTTCACTAGTTGCTTTGTGTATAGTTCATTCCATAAAGAAAAGATAATTCAACAAAGAATTAATTTCAGCAGTGATCATATTTGATGTAAC